GGAAGGAAGGAAGGAAGGAAGGAAGGAAGAGCATTTAGACATATATCGCTTCACAGTGCTTTCCAGCCCTCTCTAAGTTTTGCAGAGTCGGCTTCTTGCCCCCAACAATCTGGGCCCTCATTGTACCCACCTCGGAAGGATGGAAGGCTGAGCCAACCTTGAGACAGTCAGGCTTGAACTCCAGACTGTGCAGAAGTTTGCCCGGCATACCGCATTCTAACTACTGCGCCACCATGGCTCTTATGTAGCCTTTGACATATTCACCTCTTGTACGTTTGCACAACCGGCTTAACCCAGTTCCACATTTCCAGCTTGGAAGCCATCAACTAAGCAATGATTTGGCAGAACACACTAAACCACGTTTTCTCCAAGTTGACAACCTGAAGATGGGTGGACTTCCAATTCCCGAAATGGCTGGCTGGAGAATTCTAGGAGTTGAAGTCCTCATATCTTCATGCTGCCAAAGTTGAGGGACATTCATTTTAGGGCATAGTCATTGAGTTATGATTATAATTGACCCCGCAATTTGAAGATATATGGTCTTCCAATTCCTGGAATTGCTGGATGGAGAATTCTGGGAGTTGAAGTCCATCCAGCTCCAAGGTGTCAGGGTTGAGAATCCCTGCACAGCCATAATGTGTAGCTATGGCTTAGCGCAGGGTTTATAATTAGATCTCAGAGTCTGAATGTTTGTGCTTCTTTTTCAGTGTGTGGAGCCAAAGTCCTGCTCTGAAGCCCCACCGGACTTGAAAAGTCTTCTTCAGGGAGCACAAGCGACATGTTTTCGATAAGCAGAGGCAGGAATCTGCTCTTTCCGGTCCAAAGTTCATTGAACTTCTTTCTGCAAAGCTGCTTGCCAAGGAATTTTTAGACAGAACAACACGCTCTAAAATCCTGAGCAAGGAGACTCTTGGGTGGGGGGAGGGAGGCGAGGGGGGGGTTTGACAAGAAACAAGAGCCTCTGGTGGGGGATGACAACCTTTCCCCAATTTGTCTCAGATTGGGGCAAAATTCCCTGATCTTTGCAGGCCGCCGCTGGGAGTTTGTCAAATGCAGGTAGCAGAAAAGCAATTGCATGTAGCTCTAGTTGGGTCATGAAACGTCTGCCAAGAAAACAAGCAAGTTCAGAGAGCTCCAAGGACTCTACAGTCCTCCTCCTCCTCCTCCCCTCTCTAAATCCCATTCTTTTATAGCACTGATGATGTTACCTAGTTGGGTCATGAAACGTCTGCCAAGAAAACAACCAAGCTCAGAGGGCACCAAGGACCACCAAGCAGCTCCAGGTATTGAATTGTCAAGGATTCCTCATCATTCCAGGTTTGGCACATTCATACATCCAATTTAGTTTAGTTTAGTTTTAGTTTAATTTGTTTTGTTTAGTTTACTTCACTTTATTGGCATTGCACCTCTTGCAATGAAATTAAATGCCACCTTCTTCACCTAAGAAGAATCTAATCCAGCTGCCTGGAATCTGCCCACCTCAACTTCTGGATTCCTTCATTTGTTTTGCCTTTCTCGGTGGGGATCCTCCTTTCCACCTTGTATACAAATCACTTAAAAGAAAAAAAGCCTGCAACTTTTCCTTCTCAAAAGACACTGTGTGCGTACGTGTCCCAGGCCCATAGAGTTTGTTGCATTGGGTGTTGCATCGTTTGCCTTGCCTGTTGTGTGAACACAGCAATCCATTCTACCAATTGCTCTTACTACCCTTTGGGAGAGAAATAGCTTTAAAAAAACAAAACAAAAAAACCCAGACACAATATCTGGTCATCATTTTGCAAAACCACCAAAAGAGCAGGAATGCAATTTTCACTGTGGTTTTCCACAAGCTAATTTTGCCTGGAAAAGGAGACCGACAAAATCGCTAGGATGTGGACAGCGAAGGGGAAGGGATTTTGGCTTTACTAAGGCTGCTCAGGGGAAAATATTTGAGATTTGGAGATGGGGAAAGGGGATTCTCCCCCTCTCTCTCTTTTCTGTCCCCCACCCGCCTACCCCCAAAGTACAGGTGTGAGTTTGGAAGCTCAGATGGAAGAGCCAAAAAAAAAAAAAAAACCCTCAACCCAACATCCTTTGACTTCAAAAAACTTGAGACTTGGAATTTGATTTTAGGCTCGCGGCTTACTTGCAACAAGATTATGACACCCACGGCTGGATATTAATGAGGAGCACTACCCCAACTGAACACCCACAATGTACCCAGGGTGGGAGAGCACAATTTGGAGACCCTTTTCATGCGACGGTGGTAACCAGGGTCTCGAAGTTGCAACGGGGCCGCCTCTCTATTTACACACACACACACACACACACACACACACACACACACACACACACA